CCTTACTGAGTCCAGCACCTCTACCTTACTGAGTCCAGCACCTCTACCTCATTGAACACATCACCTCTACCTCAACGAACACATCACCTCTACCTCAATGAACACATCACCTCTACCTCAATGAACACAGAATCTTCTACCTCAATAAACACATCACCTCTACCTCAAAGAACACAGCATCCTCTACCTCAGTGAACACATCACCTCTACCTCAATGAACACATCACCTCTACCTCAATGAACACATCACCTCTACCTCAATGAACACAGCATCCTCTACCTCAATAAACACATCACCTCTACCTCAATGAACACAGCATTCTCTACCTCAATAAACACATCAACTCTACCTCAATGAACACAGCATCCTCTACCTCAATGAACACATCACCTCTACCTCAATGAACACAGCATCCTCTACCTCAATGAACACATCACCTCTACCTCAATGAACACAGCATCCTCTACCTCAATGAACACAGCATCCTCTACCTCAATAAACACATCACCTCTACCTCAATGAACACATCACCTCTACCTCAATGAACACAGCATCCTCTACCTCAATGAACACATCACCTCTACCTCAATGAACACAGCATCCTCTACCTCAATAAACACATCACCTCTACCTCAATGAACACATCACCTCTACCTCAATGAACACATCACCTCTACCTCAATGAACACATCATTCTCTACCTCAATAAACACATCACCTCTACCTCAATGAACACATCACCTCTACCTCAATGAACACATCACCTCTACCTCAATGAACACATCACCTCTACCTCAATGAACACAGCATCCTCTACCTCAATAAACACATTACCTCTACCTCAATGAACACATCACCTCTACCTCAATGAACACAGCATCCTCTACCTCAATGAGCACAGCATCCTCTACCTCAATGAACACAGCATTCTCTACCTCAATAAACACATCACCTCTACCTCAATGAACACATCACCTCTACCTCAATGAACACATCACCTCTACCTCATTGAACACATCACCTCTACCTCAATGAACACAGCATCCTCTACCTCAATAAACACATCACCTCTACCTCAATGAACACAGCATCCTCTACCTCAATGAACACATCACCTCTACCTCAATGAACACATCACCTCTACCTCAATGGACACATCACCTCTATCTCAATGAGCACATGACCTCTACCTCAATGAACACATCACTCTTCCTCAATGAACACATCACCTCTACCTCAATGAACACATCACCTCTACCTCAGTGAACACATCACCTCTACCTCAATGAACACGTCATCTCTACCTCAATGAACACAACATCCTCTACCTCAATGAACACATCACATCTACCTCAATGAACACTTCACCTCTACCTCAATGAACACATCACCTCTACCTCAATTAACACATCACCTCTACCTCAATGAACACATCACCTCTACCTCAATGAACACATCACCTCTACCTCAATGAACACAACATCCTCTACCTCAGTGAACACATCACCTCTACCTCAATGAACTCATCACCTCTACCTCAATGAACACAGCATCCTCTACCTCAATGAACACAGCACCTCTACCTCAATGAACACTTCACCTCTACCTCAATGAACACAGCATCCTCTACCTCAATGAATACATCACCTCTACCTCAATGAACACAGCATCCTCTACCTCAATGAACACATCACCTCTACCTCAATGAACACTTCACCTATACCTCAATGAACACATCACCTCTACCTCAATGAACACATCACCTATACCTCAATGAACACATCACCTCTACCTCAATGAACACATCACCTCTACCTCAATGAACACATCACCTCTACCTCAATGAACACTTCACCTATACCTCAATGAACACATCACCTCTACCTCAATGAACACATAACCTCTACCTCAATAAACACATAACCTCTACGTCAATAAACACATCACATCTACCATAATGCGAGCAAAAGTAATAATTATCATTACATTAACGGTATACAGTAGAAACAAAGCCATCAATAAGAGACATGTGCAACACCTGTGTGTCTTTATTATGACAACGTTTCACCAATAAGTGTTTTTGTTTAATTCAACACAGAGATCATATACTGGAGACAGTGAAATGTGAAGTGATCAGTCCCTCAGCCTTGATAAAACTCGTTACTTCAACCTGGAGACTTGTGAGTCTCATTCCGGAGGACCTAAAAATAATAATGGAAACTAGTTGTATTTCGGTTGCAGTACGATCCGAAAAAGGTGTCCTAGGTAATGTATACTGTTTATGATAATTGTACTTATGTGTACTTTTGCCTAAATAAACTTACTCCCCGCATTCCATAACGTCCCCTGTGCCTCAACGCACCACTGGAATACTGCAGAGTGCGACATAATTTGGTAATGCAGGTAAATATTAGCTTTGATTTGAAGGGAATCAGAAGAGGCATAAAGAAGTCATTATATGGAAACTAGTATCCAAATATCTTCAATTAAAATTGTAAATTACAATACAAACTAAATCTAGGTAATTCAAATGTTTCAGAGGAACCAAAGACACCAGTATCCGAAAATACACACACCGCTCAGAAGTTGCTGTATCCAGTAATCAGTTTGGAAAGATTGAAGCTAATCAAATGTGACATACAGACAGTGTTACATAAAAAACAGTATTTCAGTTTTACCAGTTTCTTTAAAAATGGAAAGTTGACTACAACCTAAGATTGACCAGCTTTTAAGAAAGTAAATAGTAAATAAGTTTTATGTAAGCTTAGTGTACATAACATACAAAGCTTTAACAGTGGTCTTGAGGACGCACAGATGTTATAGGCACTTAATACAACATCAAGTGTATTTGACCTAAGATTACCAAAGAAACGCCGATTTATTTCTGATCAGTGGAGACATTTCCTAATTATTTCACAGAGGCCAGTTTTAATAATAGAATTAGTACATGATATCATGTTACAGCACTAAATGTTTGAAGTAGACAAAATCCAACAAAATTTGTCCTTGCACAGCCTATATCCATGAAATGTTTCATTCATTTCATACGATGCATCAACTATGGAAAATTGATGCCATTTACAATGGCTACATTTTAACGAGAAGAAAGCGCTAAATCCGTAGGGGTCATTAGCGCCTTTCAAATGGGTAGCATTCATATTAGATCTAGGCAAAGGGGAAGATAATTCCATTTCCTTGCATCAAGAGCCACTCACCAGCATCAATGCAAAATAATGAAATAAGTTATGGTAATATAATAATATTTGGATATTAAAGGCGGCAAAATGGCATCTACACACTCCATTAAATACACCTTCTCAGTAAGATACACGAATGTCGAAATTTTGAAGACGAACAGAGGAGGCTGTCTCCATCACACGGAAGAACAAATTTTAGAATGGCCTATTCAGCATCTTGTTGAAATTTTGAAGCCGATCGAGTAAGGCATTCTCAAGTAATAAACAAAAATTTGTGAGGAAACAAAAGAAAATCTTGCAGAGAATTTTTCCGAAAATAGGAAAACCTTCCATCGATTAACTTATAAACACCATAAAAGCTCGTATTTTTTTTTAGTTATCTTTTCTTGTTTACATTCTTTTTATAATTTTCTACAATCCAGTAAAAAAAAATATTTTATTTGATAAAACTATTAAAAGTGACAAATTATCACCCATACTGACCAAAAGTAATACAAAAATACATCTAATTAAAATAGACCAGCGTCAGAGAGACATTGTCTAGTTACTTCATGGGAACAATTTCCTTAATAAAATTGGCAGATTGAAATTAACACAGCTCAAAGTGAGAGACAAGCTGTGTCTTAATACCGTCCACCAATTATAAAAGTTTGAAGCCAATCAGACAAGGCATTCTCTAGTAATTGATCCGACTCCAACGATTCCAATTTTTTATTTTTTGCTTATTTCAATAACAGTTAAAATTTGCACCTACTGACCAGACAGAAGAAACATTTTTTAGTCACTGAATAAAAACAGATTCAAATTCAAATTCAAATTCAAAGTTTATTCTCTATAAGGATTACAATGCTGAGTTTACAGAAATTTGGTTATTGTGTGGTTTACATGTAGTAAAATTGTGATTACAGAGTGTACCACTAGAACGCTTAGCATGGCTAGGCATTTCGGGCAGACTTAGTTTTATTCTTAATTGTAAAATATTACAAATTATGAGGTAAGTTGGTATTATGGCTAAGTGACTAAATACTAGTTTGTGAGTTTAGCAATGTAAATGCTTTTGTTTTGGCACAGTACATAGTTTCAGTATTAGAGTATCACAGGATTCATTATTTTAAGATTGAGATTAATATTTCTGTTTATGGTCAAATGAGTAAGTGTAAGTGTGAACCACCAGGTGGTATTCGTGTAGTTAGTTGACAGGGTGTATCAGGGAGATAAGATGTTTTCTAATGGTAGTTTTGAAGGTGATGAATGTGTCTGCTGTTATCTTTCATTCAATAAAATTAACAAACTGGGTTTTATACCACATCAGTGGTGAAAATTTGAATAATAAATAATAATAATAATAATAATAATAATAATAATAATAATAATAATAATAATAATTTTTATTTTGACATGGTACATGGTTATACAAAGGATTATAATACTTGGGTGTACATGCCAAAAGTCCCTTTGTATGCAGAGCATTTCGGGCAAACTTAAAATTAACTTAAAGATTAACAAAGCAATAACAGTACATATGGTCATTAGATGAGTTACAGTGAGTACAAGAGATTGGAGTATTCTATTAGGTAATGCTATATGGCTTTAATAATTCTAATAGAGCAGTTCAGTACAGAATAAGTACAGTTTTGATATAGCTTATAAAATGTACAGTATTACAATTTAGAACGACATAAAAAAAATTACAATATGAAGTATTACAATTTAGTACATTTTAAAATAATGAGATTGAAACACTTATGTGGAAATTTATTTGGTCCCTAAAGTTCCACAGGACAGATACCGTGTACAAAGGGGTCCCAGCATGGCCGTTATGGAACGGCTGCGCTGGGTGGCCCTTACACCCAGCCCAAAACAAAAACACATTCTCTCCCGGTTTGGCGTGGATGGTAGGTACTTTTTAATTTATAGATTTACCCTTCAGGGAAGAAGTAGGTAGTTTTACTGTTAGTACACTAATATTAGGATTATTGAGGCAACTGTAGATAATAATAATGTAGACCTAAGACCTTAACATAGGTAGTAATAGGCCGATAATGTAGGCAAGCACTAGGTTAAGTTAGCTAGGGAGAACTGGCAGCCCTAGTTTGAACGACGAGACGCGGGTCTGGAAGAGACCATCTCGTTCTTCTTGGACCAGACATCATCGGGATAACACGTGCCGTGATCAGCAGACGGCGCCCCCCACGTGTCTTCACATATGAGACCTGGGGAAATCTGGTAGAGGCACCTCGGTGTACCGTAGATGACCTCCTCCATCAGGCCCATACAGTAAGACAAGACCTCCACTTTATCTTAGATTTCTGGCCAGTGTCTGGGGAAAATTGTGAGTGAGTTGAACTGTGGGCCTTTGTGCAGCTGGCAGTGCATGCCCAGTACGTACCAGTGTCTTTTGTCAGTCTAGAAGCTAGTGTCCGTGTCTGCATAGTTATACTAGGGGATACACACCCCCTTGGATATAGGAATTTCTGAGGTGCAGGCAGGTCACTAATAACGACTGAATATTGCAGGAATTAAGGCTCCCGATTGCACGTGGTTTCTGAGGGGAAGTCCAAAGGGGCTAAGCTTAGGGAGGTTGAAGATCAGGATATATGCTGCAACACCAAGTTAGTTAGTCCTTTATACGTGCATGCAGGCGAGTTTCTTGCAACATCAATCATTTATGAAAATCTGTCCTATAAGCCACTTGTGAGGCTGAGGTACCGACCTCAGAGCTCGGTGTCAAAAGAGCTTGCCAGGGTAGGTGACTCACTTGGAGGTAGTCCAGACAAATTTTCACAACTTACAAGTTTGAAGTAATGAGTAAATGGTTGAACAATCATCAGAAATATATAATAATGAAATTGTAACAATTTTAAGTTCGAAGTAAATTATCAAATAGTTGAGCTGTCTTAAATTATTTAGAAGTTTTTTTGGAGTTGGTTTTGAGTAACTGGTAGGTATTAAGTAAATCGGTCAGATGAGTCATTCTCCAGTTATGGTACGGATTCCAACTATATGTACAATAAATTTTAGAGGGACTAGTCCCAAATCTGCACACGAAAATCACAGGAAGGAGAGAAGGAGCCAGTACATATAGACAAGGTGGGAGGGACGGGGCAAGGGAGGTAGGAGGAGTAGTGGGAGAGGTCAGGCAGGAAGTTCCAGTCACAGTATTGTGCCTTTCTGTTATTTTCAGATACTTAATGTCAGTTCTTGATCAATCGAGCTGCGGTTCGTATGTCGGTTTGCGTGCGGCCAGCAGTACCAGTCTGGTTGATCAGGCCCTGGTCCACCATGAGACTTGGTCATGGACATGGTCGCGGGGGCGTTGACCCCCGAAACACCCTCCAGGTATTCCATTTTTTTATTTTACTACAACAAAATTTTTTCCTGCAGCAAGAAAAAACTTGGATACATCCGCCCCTGGTTTTATCAGTCCTATATACGGGAGCAATTCAGAAGAGGTAAACTGAAATCTATTTAACGTGATTTAAAACAAAAACAAAACAAATGCTTTTTTCTTTGCAAAGGTTACAATGTGTGTTTACATTTCATATTTTAGGGTACTAAAAAACCGCTATCTGCCGGGGCTTTTGGGCAAAAAGGGGAATAATAGTAAACCCCCATTTGAATACAACAAGCCTTTTTGACTCAGACGGGCCTCAGTAAAAAATTTCACACTGCCCCTAGGACTGTTGACGGGCCTACAAAATTCCCAAGGCCAATGGTTTGATGACTGGACAGACATTTTTTTTAAAAAATTTACTTAGACAATACAACAAAATTGCCCTATAAAAACAAAACAGATCACAAAAAAAACGCTTGGTTGCCCATGGAAAAACAGCACCATTCTGAAATCCATTGACAAGACACCCAATAATTTTAAAGGCTGGAGGTATTCCTGGTAGTCAATAAATGTGGGGCTGATATGCTTCCGGGGAGCAGTAAGGTGAAGCGGAGGTGCTGTCCGGGGAGACAGAAAGGGGAAACGGGAGATGCGCCTGGAGACAGTAATGGGAAGCGGAGATTTGTCCAGGTATCGGAATTATACCAGAAGAATAATAAAATCCCTCATAGGGGACAGGAGCCATAGTGGGAAAAACAAGTTATAAAAATTTAAGATAAAAAAAATTTTGCAAACTAGAAATACGCAGAAATACAAACAAAGGACTCCACTACAATAGTGGGGAAATTGCCAAAAACAACTGGTGGGGGCTCCATTTTTTGCTAGGGGGGATAGAATAAAAACAGGGAAACATCAACAACAGGAATACAGTCACAGAAACCCAAGGGAAACGGAAACCAAACCTGTCACATACATGCACTTGGATCCTGGCAGGGGAAAAGGGAAAAAAAGATGGACTGCAAATAGACCACCCAGAAAATGCCATGCCCCAAAAAAAAAAACAGGGAAAAAGCAAACTCCCTCCTGTAATTTTTCACCCTGAACTTGTACCCTTTTACAGGGAAAAACTGGCATAAATTTAAAAGCCAGGCTACCATCTAAAGGGGGCAAAAATACAAACATCCCGGCCATGGAAAACCTGGGGAGCCAAGCCACCAAAAGGGAGAGGTTTTTTAGTCCGGAAGGAAAAAAAACGGCAGAAATGGCAAAACGTACACCAAATCCATCATTCCTGGGGTGGAACCACGTCGATGGCCCCACCCAAACCAAAAGATACAGATACTAATGCCGGAAAAAAAAACCCCCCCATACAAAAAACCCCCCGTCCGAAACATCTTCTTTGCAAAATACAGGGGCAAACCCGCAAAAAAACAACAAAATACCTTTTATCCGTGGGCGTTGCAGAGGCAAAAGGGAATGTTTTTGGCTTTCACTGAACCCACATAAAGGGTCCTTGGACAAGAAATATGGGTCCCCGGTTACAACCCAACAATGTGACAGAGTGAACAGAAAAAGGGGGGGGGGTTTGGCCGTACATTGCAGATCATTGTTTGCATAGAACGCTTAAAGCTCAAATATGTTGGGAATTTTTTGCGTAAAGGTCGAGAACCCAAAAACCTTCAAAGTGGGATCTACAACCCCGGATCAACACCCACAATTCCAGGAACACGTTAAAAAAAATTGACCACTGTCTGAAAAACTTCCAGCCCTGCACCCAACATCTTGCTCCTGGGGGGTTTCAACTTAAAGGGACCTAAAAAAGGGGGAATATAGCAAATAATAGTTGCAGTAATAACACCCGGAGGCACTCTGATGAAAACCACATCCACACAGCTTTTTAAACTCTGCACAAAAAACAATTTTAAACCCAAATAATAGGCCTACTAGACTGGGGAATCACAGACCCCCATCTTTACTAAAAAAGGATCTATAAGAAATGTCACCAATCCCAAAAAAAATATACCAATCACAACATAATTTAGGGTTTAACATGTATCTGGAGCCCCGACCCACATAAAACAGTCCAGGGGGCATTCACCAAACAACTTTTAAAAAAAAAAACTAAAATGGGACCAATAAAAAGTCCAACCGATTAAAAATGGGGAAATATCTAACAACACAGACCCCAACTTTTGCCTAAACAGATTAAACCGGGGGCACTCGATTAGCACAAGCTTTTCCCTAAGAAAAAAGGAGTAGTAAATGAAAATAGAAAGAGACGGGGGCTCCCTTTACAGGCGACGGAAAAGAAAACAGACGGCTAAAAGAGGTCAATAAATTTTGAAAGCGTAGGAGACACTGGCAAGAAAAAGCAAGCATCGAACTTAGCTAAAAAAAATCCTTTTGGGGTCAGGAATCGCGGAAGAACAAAAGCCATAAATGAAAACGAAAGAAACCCAAATATTTTTCTCCTATCCAAATCAAAAACGAGAACAAAGTCCAGTATTGGGCCCCTACTTAAAAAAGATGGGGCCTACACAGATGACAGCAAAGGAAATGAGTGAGCTACCAAGTCCCAATATGACTCAGTTTTTAGCAAGCCCAACCAACTGAGAGTCGAAGATCAAAATGAATTTTTTATGAGAGCCACAAAATTTGATTAACACAAGCCTATCCGATTTTTATCCTAAACGCCAAATGACTTCGAACAGGCGATAAATGACATGCCCATGCACTCTGCCCCAGGGCCAGACTCATGGAACTCTGTGTTCATAAAGAACTGCAAGAACCCCTATCACGACCCTTTTTTCCATCCTATGGAGAGGGAGAAAGGACACGGGGGTCGTCCCACATTACAAAAACAACAGACATAGCCCCACTCCACAAAGGGGGCAGTAGAGCAACAGCAAAGAACTACAGACCAATAGCACTAACATCCCATATCATAAAAATCTTTGAAAGGGTTCTAAGAGCAAGATCACCACCCATCTAGAAACCCATCATTTACACAACCCAGGGCAACTTGGGTTTAGAACAGGTCGCTCCTGTCTGTCCCAGCTATTGGATTCACTACGACAAGGTCCCTAAATGCACTAGAAGACAAAAAGAATGCAGATGAATATATACAGACTTTGCAAAAGCCTTCGACAAGTGTGACCAGGGGTAATACGCACAAAAAAGCGTCTAAAGGAATAACAGGAAAAGTCGGTCGATGGATCTATAATTTCCTCACTAACAGAACACAGAGAGTAGTCGTCAACAGAGTAAAGTCCGAGGCAGCTACGGTGAAAAGCTCTGTTCCACAAGGCACAGTACTCGCTCCCCTCTTGTTCCTCATCCCCCATATCCGACATAGACAAGGATGTCAGCCACAGCACCGTGCTTCCTTGCAGATGAAAACCCAATCTGCACGACAGTGTCTTCCATTGCAGACACTGCAAGGCTCCAGGCGGACATCAACCAAAACTTTCAGTGGGCTGCAGAAAACAATATAAGTTCAACGATGAGAAATTTCAATTACTCAATATGGTAAACATAGGAAAAATTTAAAACTTCATCAGAGTACAAAACAAATACTGGCCACAAAATAGAGCGAAACAACCAACGCAAAGACCTGGGGGTGATTAGTCAGAGGATCTCACCTTCAGGACCATAACATTGTATCAATCGCATCTGCTAGAAAAAGACAGGATGGATAATGAGAACCTTCAAAACTAGGGAGGCCAAGCCCAGATGACACTCTTCAGGGCACTGTTCGATCTAGGCTGGAATGTTGCTGCACACTAACAGCACCTTTCAAGGCAGGTGAAATTGCCGACCTAGAAAATGTACAGAGAACTATCACAGCGCGCATAACGGAGAAAAAACACCCCAATTACTGGAGCGCTTGAGGGTTTCCCAAACCTGTATTCCCTGGAAAAGCAGGAGGGGGAGATACATGATTATATACACCTGGAAAATCCTAGAGGGACTAGTACCGAACTTGCACACGAAAATCACTCACTACGAAAACAAAAAACTTGGCAAACGATGCACCTCCCCCCAATGAAAAGCAGGGGTGTCACTAGCACGTTAAGAGACCATACAATAAGTGTCAGGGGCCCGAGACTGTTCAACTGCCTCCCAGCACACGTAAGGGGGATTACCAACAGACCCCTGGCAGTCTTCAAGCTGGCACTGGACAAGCACCTAAAGTCAGTTCCTGATCAGCCGGGCTGTGGCTCGTACGTTGGTTTGCGTGCAGCCAGCAGCAACAGCCTGGTTGATCAGGCTCTGATCCACCAGGAGGCCTGGTCACAGACCGGGCCGCGGGGGCGTTGACCCCCGGAACTCTCTCCAGGTAAACTCCAGGTATGAAAAGCAATTTAGACAAGGCTTAATACACAAAGATATTCTTAAACACTATTCATCAGCTCTCACCAAAGTAATAAAGAAAGCCAAACAACTATACTACTCCAGTAGATTCACAGACACTAGAGGAGATATAAAAAAGACCTGGAAAACACTCTCTCAGATTCTAGGGACCCACAAACTTAGAAAAACCAAGAATATTGTCCTAACTAAACCTAATGAAACACCACTACATCCCACTGACACAGCTAACAAATAAACGACTTCTCTCTCAACCAAGGACTAACTCGCCAGTAAAATCCCCCATACCAATGCCAATGCCCGGGGACTACCTAGATGGGAATTTCCCTAATTCCTCTCTCTCTTGCACCAACCTGAGCCCACGGAAGTCCTGAGATTATAAAGTCACTTAAAAAATGTAAACTCGGGGGTATCTGTCTCATGTCCCACCATTATGTACATCGAGCGGCCCATGTCCTTTCGCATGCTATTTCATACTCCTTTAAACAAGTCACTCGAGACTAAGCACCTCTCCGAAACTACTCAAGATGGCAAAGGTTACACCAATACATAAAGGTGGTGACCTACAGACTTAAAAAACAACTATAGGCCAATATCTAACTTACCATTGCTATCCAAAATCTTAGAGAAACTC